CCCTCCCACCCCTCCCTCAAAAACAACCAAACGCCGTGGTGAACTGGATTTGGCCCGCAGGCCATCAGTGCCAACCAACCCCAAGGCTAGACTGTGAAGGGCGTGGTGGTAGTCTCGCTTCCAGGTGCTTTGGGACGTCAGTGAAGGTTTTAAAAAGCAGCTAGGTGACGTGATTCTGTTTATTTAAGACAGGCTTCTGACTGTTATATTGAGGATGAACTAGAGGGAGAGAAGAGCAGAGTATAAGTGGGGAAACCAGTTAAGGAAGCTCTTGCAGTAGTATTTAAAAAAAAAAAAATGAAGGTGATCTAAGCTGTTAAAGATAAAGGAAGTGTGTAATTATGAGTTTTTTGGAATGTATATTCTGAAGGCCTTGCCAACAGACTGGATATGAGGGTCGAGGGTGGCATGAAGTCAAGGATGATTCTCAGAGTTCTCTGCCTTGAGCGACTGGGCTGATGAAAATATCATTCATTGAGATAAAGAAGCCTGTGGGAGAAGTGGCTGTGGAGGGCAGACGTGAAGAGAGTAGAAATGGCTGGAAGTCTTCAAGTTGTTGGATAGGTGGCTGACCTTGTCTAACAAGAGCTCTGAGGAGCAGTTGAGGCCTAAGATAGAAGAGAGAATCATCGTCACTGACACTGAAGGACATGGTAGGAGATCACAGAATGAGAAAAAGCCCAGGGTACTGGACAAATTGAAAGTAAAAGGTCGGTGCAGGGAAGGCTTCAGGAGTCCAGAGGAGAGGCATAGAAACAGCAAAGTTGGCAGCAAGGTCCCATCCAGGACAGGCAGTCAAAGTGAGCATCCAGACGGCATCAGGACGGGCTGTGATGGAAGGCCACCAAGCTCCAGTACTTTCTGAGAGGCTTTATGCTCAGTGGTGTTGCCTCACAAAGATGGGACACACATAGGGGAGTCTTGGAGAATTCCCCAGGCTTTGTAGGTTCTACTATTGTCCCCAATTTACAGATGAAGAAATGGAGGCAAGGGGAGATTTTTAAAACTTGCCCAATGTTACACACTAGTAAGTACC